TACTTTTCTTCCTATTTGGAGATCACGATTCTTAAGGAATTAGTGACATGGAAAAATTAATGATATCGAACAAATACATCTGTGTAATTTAAAAATAATAAAAACTAGTGATGCTATAATAGTACATATTTTGTCGCAACATTAAAAATTGTTACGTAATATTATATCCTACGAAATTTCAATGATCACTTGGAATAGTCCAAATCAATTCAAACGCAGCCCCTGTAGTGCATTTGGGCAATTATTTCGATAACAAAAGAAACAAATGTGAATAAAGCTCAACCGTTCCTGGGCCCATTTCCGACGAAACAAAAAATTAACATAGAAAATTACAAATTTAAGATAAAGATTTTTTGTCTGAAATAGAATCTACTAAAAAATAAGGTTTTTAAAATAGAGTGTGTACTATTTCTTGAAAAAAAACGAATCGTTTTCGGCAATTGCTGCTTGAATTTAATGTAAATTTAACAAACCAGCATATTTTGTAACAACCGTTCCAAATGTTTTCTGCAGATAGAACAAGGGAACGCAACGCAAGGAAATGCAAAAGAACGGCACAGACATACTTTTCGTTGAACCTCCTGAATTTTCGAAAATTGCAGAAGTCGTAACTAGTGCCAAAAAGTTCATTTTTACATATTAACTACGTAAAAAACGTTTCAACAAATATTATATTTATGTAATTTTTGATAATGATTTTTAAAATATAACAACCAAATCGCGACATATCATGGTATCCAATGCATTTACACTTGGCGTTCAAAATGCTGGGTATTTCTATAAAAACTGTATTTTCGTTTAAACTTCGAAATCGATTTTTGCAGCTCTATATGACTTTCTTTGTATTAAATACTCACTCTATATACGTAAGTATACGAAAAAGTAAAAACATGAATGTTTGTAAATCCTATATGCGATTTCGGTTCGGTGTTCTTCGTTTTACTTGCTAAAACCTATTTAACTTCACTGTGTATTTCCAAAAAAAGAATGTGTATGTTTCCTCAAATTGCGAAATAGAGTTTTCGCAACTCAACGTAACTTTGTTTCAATCATGTGTATTACTCTGTATGTACGTTTGTATAAGAGAAAGTGAAAACATATTGATTCTTTGTGCGATCTGGTACGTTCTGTTTCACTTTCTAAAACTCATTTAACTTCACTGAAAGCAGTTCATTTGCGGCATATACTCGCGAACGAAACTCCTTATTAGAAAACATATGAGACATGGGAAATGGTATGTAGATATTTGAATCATTTTCAAATTCAATTATGAACAATGGAGTGAAGTGCCTTGGACGTTGGTCGTACTAGGTATCTAAGCGGAGGGTTTTTTATTCCGAGAGTCACAATAGCAGTACACACAGGGGCACTGTGGAGCGGGTCGATGACGGAAGTGACCGGGTGTCGGGGGCGGATAATAATGACCTCCAGGTGGGCCTCGCGGAGAAGGTGAATGGAAATAAATGTTGCAGGAGACACGGAATGGGCGCGCCGAAAACTCCGCCGTGACGAACTGGGAAGATGATAATTAATTGAAGTCATACATAACGCGAAGGAGCAAAGAAAGGGAAACTGACACTGTCACTTAGTGCGTCTTCGGTGGGAATGAATAAGTGATTGATTGATTAATGGATTGATGTTTCCAGGCGCGTCAACGGCTAAGGTTGTTAGTCCCGAAGTGCACGTTTTAGAGCGAGAAGTGGCGGTGATCTTCCCCCACTGGATTCCGATCTACCCATCGCCTTGGGTCCCCCTCCCCTAACCAGGTACCTCCCATCAGCGGGGTACCACCGCAGTCGGGACAAGATGCCAACTGGTGGTAGCGCATGTAAATGTGTTTTTAAGTAAGGAGTGAGAATTCGACAAGGAAGGGGAAGAACATATCGTGTGCGGTACGTGACCCGTTTGTTAGGGTAATGCTCCAGCATTCGCTTCGTGTTGATTGAAAAATCACGTAAAACTAGCGATCAGAGGAGATGGCCGTTGGAATTAAATTGATGCCAACCCACCTAAACTGGTAATATTAAATGAAATCTCGAATAATATACAATTAATTTATTTTGAATAAATTGCTTAAAGAAGGAAAACGAATGTAATATAAATATAATAATAATACACGTGATATAATGCGTTAATAAAATTATCATACAACAGACACTATTCATTTAATTATAATACTATTATAGTAAAATCTGTCTCAGCAGGAATTGATCAGGTCAGAGAAAAAAATCCGTTTTAGGGAGGTTTCCATTTTATGCAAGATTGTCTGTTTTTGACACTTGTGATATTAACATATCTTCCCTGAAAAAAGTAAATTACATGACTTTATTATAATTATTAAAATACGACATGAGGTCAATTGGCCGAGTGGCACACTACTACGAGCAAAAACAAAATCTACTTTTACCATGCACTTGTGTCAAACACGTTTTTTGCGACAGCTTTATTGACTTTACTTCATTCAAGTATAGAAACCACTTAATTGGGTGTTACATTAAAATCAGTTGTAACTGATGAGATGTATGTATTTTGTTTTGTTGGTGGCATTCTCATCTCTCGGTTAGTGCTGGTGCTAAAAGTTAACTTTTAGCACGTTGGAAATTCCCTAAAAGAAACTGCTTTTAAGAGTGGCTCTCTAAAAAGTTTTTTTCTCTATCATATAAAAACGTACGTTTCTACATACTGATACGCGTTCGTGAAGTTCATCTTCTCACATCTGAAAACACGATTAATATATCTGAAAGTCTGTATTCCCCGTGCGTAAAACACGAGGTCACGATGATGTCACAATACGAAAAAAAACTTACGTGCGCATAGTAGGTAGCTTACAAGTAAGAAAATGGAGCACACAGTAATGGCAAATCTTTTTATTATTATTGAAGTATTCCCAAAATCTATCAACTTATAATTAACTGGTACCACATAATTGGTACGAAATTCTTAACATATCTTATATTATGAAACTCGTAGCGACTCTCTTACATGTACACCAATTTCTCTACTGATGGTAAGTTTTTTCCTAAATACCTGCGTAAGGCAGTTTTGATAATAAATTAGATATTGCAAGGTTCGCAGATTAGAACAACTCCTGAGAAATGTTAGGATCGTTTTTAATGTCTTTAAATTCGGTAAATATAACTATGGTGTACTAGTTACAGAATAAGAACTTGTATAAAACAGGACGTCTTGTGACATAAACGTCATCGAAGTTGGAAGTTTCTTTTGAATAAATCATGAAGAGTAGATACGAAGCATATTGTGATTCATAATAGAAACATTTTTATTCGACTCTAGAAAAAAAAAATTATGAAAGACGTTATTGTTTTGTGCTCGATCTCAATTGAAGGTTTTTTTGGGCCAACCTATGGTCTCGACAAAAAGAAACCTTAATCGAGATCGTGCAATAAATCATAACTTCACCCACTTAATATAAAAATACCTACTGTCGGACGATCAACAAGGTAACATAATTGAAGTCAATGTAAACCAATCAATGCCAAAACATGTACGAATAATATTTAGTATTCTTAGACTACAGAATGTATTTAACTCAATAATTAATTATTAACATTTATGTCCAAGACAATGAGATATATTTTTAAATATAATTCCTACGTTATATTTTCCATTGATTCACCCTGCGTGCTGGGAGTATCAATGGTAGATGAATTAGTTCCAACAGTAACTGAGGGAAAATTTATTTTTGCAATATCGTCCTCGCTACTTTGTTTACTCTATGTGTTACCGAATCTTCCATGTATTCCTCAGCTAGCTTTGAAATTTTATGTCCATCGCGCCTTTTAATGTTTATTAAAGTGGCTTTAGCGTCTGATAATAAAGATTCAGCATAACCAAAGACCGTCGAAATCAATGTCCAGAATATATAAAAATTTTCATTAGGTAGTTTAACAAACTGTGCCAAACATGTTACCAAAAGTATGAATACCAAAGAGTTTGAATGAAGCTTCTACTATTTCAATAAAATAAAAAGAGCTTCACGAGAAGTATGTGATTTGGCCACATTGAAACATAACTTTTAGAGATATAAAGGATTAATACCATCACATTCTGTAGACAGTAAAAACTCTGCGAACGTTAAATTTAGTATTACTAAGCGTAATATTTAGCAAAACAAGTGTACTCTACATCTTTTATAGTGAAGTTATGGAGTTCTTCTCTTCTGCATGCACCTACGACACTAATAACCATAGCCACCAAAATGGAGCTTCAATTAAAAAAATACACGTTGCAAATTTACGAAGTAAGAAACAGCATACTACCGACTTTTGGTAAAACGTCATCGGGAGCTGATTCCCAACGTATTGGTCTCTTCTAGAGTACAAATTGTCGGTTTTTCCGATGCACGTATTTCTGACTTACGTTTCAAAAATGAATTAACTTCGTGATACTTTGTGATGCAGGTTTACGTTTTTGTTAATAACTTTGGTTATATTTAGCATTGAAAATTTGATTAATAATGTTGATGATTACACTGTCTGGTACAACTGTAGTACAAATACAGTTAGTAATCTTATGCACATTAATTATTTACCTCACGTAAGTGTAATACATTCTCGTAAAGATACCTCAGCATGGTTGTTTCATTTACACCTGTTAAATGTATCTCACTTTCCCATTGTAAAAACAATTCATTCTCTCACTTGTATTGATCACTTGATTTCTAAAGAAACAGGCTCAGAGTAACAGCTTCTGCTTTCTCACAAACTTTCTCTGAAATATAGCACTGCATAATTAAACGAAACGCCAAACCTAGTCTCAATTCCCAAACAGTTCAGAAATACTTGAAAGTTACAAACTTCAATAAATCAACAAGTGTAACGTACAACTTCAGATACGGTAATGCAGAACAACATCTGCATTTATGCCACGAAAACGGAAGGTTTAGAAAAGATCTCTGAAACTTAAAATTGGGAGGTGAGTATTCAAAAAAATCAGTATCAGTATGCAAATCAGTCCGAAAATATATAGTAATGGACTCGCTATTTTACAAACATCGGTTCCGTTTCCCTGCATCTCAGTTGGTGAACACCTCTTCTAAAATCATTTATTTTTCGTCCTTGGCCCTTGTGACCTCCCTGCAAAAAAAATCATAACTAAATGTATTCATCATATTTGAAACAAGTTATTCATCTTAAAATTAAGAAAATTAAAACTTTCTTCATTCGGAACACAATTCGGACATTCTTAAATTATCTATGTTTCTTAATTACAGTTAAACATTGGCACATTAACAATTTCTGCTTGTTATTTACAATCACAATTTTTGTTCTTTAAAAAAACGCAAGCAATTTCACAATTTATATCGTGCGTTTTTTTCCCCTTCAGGAAAAATAATGTACCCGACGTCACATACCTAAACATATTTTCTTAACGAAACTTCATGACTTTTGCCGAGATGTTTTAGTGGCGAACAACAACGTGAGAAATGCATAGTGGAGCATTGGCGAGGCAGCTTCGAGAACACACGACCCAGAACCCGCAGAACGAGAAGAGCGAGGCGAGGCAGAGGAGAAAGAACGAGAAAGGGCGAAAGATGAGGTGTCGAGCGCAAGGCTTGGGGGGAGCAATATGAAAGGAAGGATCGTGCTGAAAAAAAAAGCGTCACATACAGCTGCCGCGAAAAGTCGGCCAAACACCGGCGCCCGGGAACAAAGAACACAACCGGGACGGGCTAAACAGGATCAGATGCGGTCAAAATGAGAATGATGCTGAAGTGAAATTTAATGAAATGCAATGCTCTGCAACTCCAGATGTTACTTTTTCTTATACGTACATTTAAACGGAATAATATACGTAGTAAAGGAAAAAAAGTTTTTTAATCCTGCGGTGAAAGGGCCATTTTTTGACAGAAAAAACTCGTTTTGCGGTTCCCTGATACCGTAAAAGTGGGTTTTTTTCTTGTTCATATATACAATCAATTACTTTTTCTAAAACGTTGAGTATTCAGAATCCCCATTTTGTAGTTCTTTAATACCGAAAAAGCGGATAACATTCTCAAAATAACCGTTTGTTTCTCTACCTCTGTCCGTTCACTTATGAGCAACACTAGCGCTTGGACTATTCCTATTGTTTTTCTAAAATGAATGCTCCTCGATCGATCCGCCCAGACTTAAAGTCCTCCGAATTTTGAGATTTTTTTAAAATTTTCGGAGTATTTTACATGAAGCGCCTGTGACCTTTTCAAAATTTTCTCAAAATGCCTTAATTTTTTTATCTTTTCTTGTAAGAATAGAAATAAATAAAGCTGGAATAGATGCTACTTCTACTGTTATTCCTCAGTTTTCAAAAAATGTAGGAGTTTAAGAATTTTTACCCACCTCTTATAACGAAATCCTCGTTCCCACCAGGGATCTCCCACCTGCGGGGCAACGTCCCAGTCGGACAATCTCTAAGCTCCCGACATGTGCGGTAGTGTAGTGTATAAGCAAGGTGTGAGGATAGGACAAGGAACAGGAAGGAAAGATCGCGCGCGGTCCATTGTCCGGTTATTAGGGCACTACTCAGGCATTTGTCTGGTGTTTGTTGGAAAAAACACGGAAAGCTACCGATCAGAGCAGCCGGCTGCTAGAATGTTCCTCCAAACACTGGCGGACTTCGACTTAGCTATAAAGATTGTGTCAAAAATCCTTCTACCGTCGAGACTCGAATCTAAGACCTCCCGGTCACAGACATTGTAGTGAAATCAGCTGATGCTCTGAACCAAGCGGGTGATTGAAAGGAAGTTGTAACCGTCTAGTGTTGGTTAATACACAAAATGTTCGCGCCCATTGAACGGGAATATAAGTTTCATAAAAAATGGACCTTTATGAAGGTGTGCAGAGAGATTAAAACTTAATTCAGATAGCCCTTTCATTATTATCACTATATTACTAAAAGGTCATTTTAAAAATCCCAAAAAGTAGTAGTTCTAAATTTTATTTCAGTTGTAAGCAATAAAATTCTATTGTAGTGTCAGTGAGCGTAACGGATCAATAATGTTGAATATTGGATATGATAGTAGAATGTTGCGTCGCCGACGCAGTAAACTGTTTTAAAAGTATTTTCATTGTTGAAAATGTATGTCAATCTTTGTTCAAAGTTCTTACAGCCTCTGATATAGGACATACCAGTGAATTGTAGAGCTGATAATGTTTTATTTCCGTTCAAAATTTCCCAACGCTGTATGGCTTTGAATGTGTCGTCCATACGGGATATGCATTGGTAATATTGCAATTTTAAAATGTAAATGCCATAAAAATACTTGAAGGTATGGATGTTGCGATTGGTTAGAATTTAGTACAGTTACATATTGTACCCTTTTTTTGTCTGGTATGCAAATAAAAGATCAGCTACAGGCTGTTTCTCAACCTCATTTTCTAATAATATGTTAGTTCTCAGTTATGAAAATTCTGTCGCAAAATATTCTACAACTACTTATGATTCTTCTCCGAAGATGCTTAATACTCCCATATTTATCCCTTAATTTTTGAAGAGATTAAAACTCCACACACTGTCTAATTTGTGTACTCTTCTACTTCTCTAATTGCTCTATTGATCGTTTTGTATACGAATCTACATAAACATTAAAATGCGACTTTTAATACAGTTATTTTGTATGTTTCATTTACATTCATTTCAAAATCGGTATACGCACGCTTCAGAACGTAAATGTGTGATGTCGAATGAAAGAACGAAAATGTGCTTTCTTTCTGTAGCATTACTCACAGTTTGGTTTTCTCCGTATTCACTTGAAATTCTTCAAAGTTAATACGTTCGAGAGTAATAATGTATGTTCTTGTACATTATTTTTTTAAAATACGGTATTACGGATAAATATGGAATAAAATTTGCTGATCGGTTTACTTGTTTATATTATAAATGGTGACAATCAGTGTTGCCATCCTCGTAAAATAAAATTTTTGCGGTCTGGAGCGAAAATTGCCTCTGAGTACAGGAGTTTAATCAATGCCTCTTATCGATCTATTTCTGGCTTTGGTGTAATTACCGATCTATCCTCGAAGCAGCGCAGCGCTGAAATGCGCAAAAACACGTGTTTTGGAAATTTCTTAGGATCTTCTGGCCGATCCAAAAACAAATTATCAGCTCCCCACCAGGAGACCGAGACGCGTAGAATGGCACATCATATGTCTTAATTGGTGGACAGGAAGTGGTCTGACCGTGAGTGATGTTTTCGCACACACGCATACTCGTACGTGCTCAAATACTGTGTAGGAATTGAAATATGACGTGAAACAATAGATAATAAATACACTTATGATATTTTTTAATTTAACGACTGAATTCTCTTGTGTAAATTCAAGAGAAAACGGTCAACTTTAAGAAATATCTCAGATATTAGAAATATCAAGTGACGAAAAAAATGAGATAATGTGGCCTAAAAACAGATTACATTATATGAGTCCATTGAAAGTGAAACGTGAATTTTGTAAAGGCCTAAATACGTAATGATAAACAACTGCGGTGCCATTATAATATGTTCTTGTACGCGAGTGTAGAATTAATTGAACTTAACGAGCCGTGTAATTGCATTCATAGCCATTAAAGTAAAATTCGCCTACATTTCCATGAAGAATTTTAATATGACCACAATGCACTGAACAATATCATAAAAGAATTTTATCAGGATAGAAAAAACGGACAATCTACTCAACATGGTTCACTTCAGCTTATATCCATGAGACTCAAGAATGAACCACGTGTCATTAGCGTCGACGAATTGCATGCAGATACAACGTCTGATTGTTACTCAAGTATTAGGGTCGTGGCAGTGATTTTTAATGTACATTATTTTTACACATTGTTTTAAAACTCGAATAAGTAAAGCTTTTAGAAAACAAAACAAATTATATTTAAAAGGAACATTCAATACAATTATTTAAAGTTCTAATTTTAAAGAATAGAATTTCTTAAGAAAACATCGCTTTCATATAAAACGTAATTGTAATATCTTAAAATGGTAAACATTTGCGAATTTCGAAAATTCAGTTTCTTTTACTAAAAACGGGTCCAGCACCAATTTAATCAGCGTACTTCTCTATTCGGGCAAGAAAAGTAAATACCACATTGAGATTTGTGAGTAGTATGTACAATTTCCATACTATTGTAATTACAGACGGCTTTGCGTCGCCTTGAGTAGTTCTTTGAATGTGCCAGTTTTTTGTCAAACAAACGTGTATTGCATTGTATCTATATTACGAAAAAAATCTTGTTAGAAGAGTCGTTTGTGCGTGTTTATCGATACATAGTTAATCTAACAGGATTCATTTTAGAGAAAATTTAATCAAAAATCCACAAAACGTAGATTCTATTTTGTATTTGAAAAAGTTATTTACTATATACAAAAGTGTAAGAAAAATCCACTTTTTCGGTGTTAGGGATGTATAAAACCTTTCAATCGAAAATTCAACACTTTTATTCTGCAGCATACATATTATCTCTTTCTACGAAGTAGATTCGAGATTCCCTCGAAGTATTAGTTTCTTCACAACAGGTCGTACAAGACGTAGGGTTGAACAAAGGACAGTCTCGAGAGCCGTAGACGAAATCTCATGCAGCTAATAGCTCTTTTAGAAATTTTGGGAAGAGAGGGAATAATAGGGTTTTTTGCACGGCGTACCATCATCACTATCGATCGTCGGCGCATGCGCAGTTCGAGTTCACTTTTGTGTATCCGCGCCTGAGCAGAAGATCGATTGCTCTTCGCTAAACTGTGTTGTAACTCCTTATCAAATAGTATCTTTTATACTATTCCTTCCTAAAATACAACCTGACTGAGCTCAGCACGCGAGAAAGATGTTTTACATCAGAAACACTTTAAGATACGATAGACCTAGTTTCTTGGTGGAATTTTAAATATGACTGACAGGGCTTCACATTTACCTTGTAAATGTTTGGAGTGAAATGTATGCCAAATGACAAGACAGATATAAAATAACAAGATAGATATAAAATAACTAGATGAATATAAAATAACTAGATATAAATAACTAGATAGATAAAAAATTACAAGATAGATATAAAATATGGCTGAAAAAGTAGAATGGTGTTGAGTTGACATTGTCTATATAACAGTTGA